AAAAAAGAATAAAGATGTCACACCTTATTCAAACTAGATTATAAAATGGTAATAAGGAAAAGAATAAAAGGCCCCAACTTATTCAAACTAAATTACAAAAAACTATTCCTAAACGAGCAGTAAGTAGAAAAGTAAGAAGAAACTAGAGAAAAAATAAACAAAAAATTAACGGTGCATAGTGAAACTTTGGGAGATACTACTAGAGATGTAAACGGTCCTTGGCCCGACGGGCCGGCCCGTTTTGCCCGAAAAAAAACAGGGTTAGGGCTTTTTATTGGTAGCCCGTTTAAATCAGGGTTTTTTAGGCCCGGACCGTTTAAACCGAAGCCCGTTAGGGCTAGCCCGAAACCCGCTAGGGCTGACCCGTTTAACTTGAGTTGGGCGTTGTAAATATTTGCAGCAAGTAAGTAATATTTTCTTAGATTAATTGTATATTAAAATTTTGTTATTCCACTTCACATATAAGTATGAGCTGTAACGGATTATATTGATTTTGAAAGATAATTATTAACAATATTCTTATTGTACTCCACACCAAAATATTTAACTCAATCAGAACGACTAATATGAAACAAATGAGACAAAGACCTAACACATGAAACATAGTGATATAATTTATAGTGATATAATATCGTAAAAATTTTCAAAGCGTACAAAATATAAGTAGTGAAATGGTAATTGTAAGTAATAATTTGAATATTTTTTTCTTTTGAAAAAAAAATATTATTTAAGAGTTTGTAGTATGTGTTCATATATGATGTGTAGTTGTATATATAGAGCATCAAATAATAAATACAGTTGAAAACAATCGTTAATTAGTCGTTGTAAATTTTTATAATTTTTTTTTTTTTATTTTTGATATTTTTTGATACATTATTATTAATACTATTATTAAAGCCCGTTTAGCCCGTTTAGCCCGTTTAGCCCGAAGCCCGCTAGGGTTAGAGTTAGGTCCTTTTATTGGTAGCCCGTTTAAATCCGGGCTTTTTAGGCCCTGACCGTTTAGCCCGAAGCCCGCTAGGGCTAGCCCGTAACCGCTAGGGCTAGCCCGTTTAACATCTCTAGATACTACGGTCTCGTTACGGAATTATTCTGTCGGGATTTGTAACCGTTAAATCATTGTAACGTCATGGATAATTGATCTAACGGTTAAAAATCTTGACGGAATAGTTCCAGAACCGTATTATTTCCCTAAAACTTATTATATTTGTAAATTAAAAAAATGCAAATAGAAATTAATTGTATGGACGAAATAGTTTTGTAAAAGAAAAAAAGAAAAAAAAAAAGGAAATGGGGTTTGGCAGAAAAACAGGGCCTACCTCATATGTCCACTGAAAATAATGTTTTAACTTTTCTATAAATGGAAAGTTATTTGACCATAAATAATGTTATTTTGAGGCTTTGAGTTTGAGCCACCACTCACCAGTATATTTATTATTGGTGATACTTGGTTTTCTTTTGTTTTTTCTGTTGTTTAATCCTTTTATATCAAATTATTTCCTTGGTAGAATTAATTGTACATTTCTACAAATAAAATTAGAGAAATTTACTCAATTTACCTATAATTTTTTTTAGATTACTTAATTGCAAGTGCACAAACTTTCAATGTTTATTAATAATTGATCTGTGGTTTATTTTGTATTTTTGTTTGAAATTGTATTATTTTTTGGTTTATAACTCATATGAATAATTATATTTTAATAAAATGCCTATTGAGAAAATTTTTAAAAAATGTGGTAAACATTTTGAAAGGTCATAAATAAATGACTTAGGGCCCAAAAAATGTGATCTAATTAATCCAATGGATAGAATTGGGCCTTTCTCAAAGTTATTGGGCTTTTTCCCTAGCGAAAAAAATAGTTGAAAGGTGTTACGTCCATTGTCAGTTACTCTTCTTTCTCAAAACGGAAAACCAAACTTCTTTTCTCACTCCACTGGCGGCGATGGCGGCGGCCGGAAAACGAACGGTGACCCTCGGCGGCAAAGGATCTTCTCTCACTCCCTCCTCCGTCTTCGAGGTCGCCAATGGATTCTCTCGCGTCACGATCGACTCCTCCGCTCTCTCCCGACGCTCCTCCCCCTCCTCGAATTCCACCGCCGCGAAATTTCCCTTCGCGGTTCCCAATTATTTCACCCGCGAGGAAGCTAGGGCTTCTTTGATCCTCCTGTTGAACAAGCTAGTACTTTCTTCGTCTTCTTCATCCGCCGCGACCCAGCTGGTTGAGATCCTCGAGCGAGATGTTCAGAGCTCGGATTACACCCTGAACGACATCGCATCGAGTGATTTGGCGCAGCTGGATTACTCCGTCGCGGCTGTTGACGGCGTTTCCGCTGTCCTTGACCACCGCTCGTCTGCTTTGTGTTCCATCGCCGACGCCGTCGCGGCTATCTCGTGTGAGGCCCTGCGAGCTGACGTGTCGCCATTCAATCTGATGGACTCCGGCGACGGCTCCTCGGCGAAGGACGCCGTTTCGGTTGCCGCCGATTTTAAGGTTTTTGTCAACGGGTCAAAGCTGGTCAACACCGGGAAAAAGCTTTTGGATCCTTCGGTGGCGGAGATTCCTTCTGTCCACGGCAATTTCAGGGAGGTCTCTCGTGCCCTACACTCAAAAACTAGGGTTCAGTTGAACTCCGGGTTCCGGGCTGGCTCAGCCAAGGACATGTCGACCTCATTGTCATCTTTGGGTCTGTCCCTGCTGAATGTGGGGGATATTAGTGTCCGCCGATCAAACCTCCTTCTGGCGGACTCTATTTTGGACATGGAGCTGCGTGCCCGTCTGGCGGAGATGCTGGCGGCCGAGTGCCCAGGTGCCGATGCATTAGAGCAGCTGTACTCGTCCTCTCAAGCTGCTCTCAGTAAGAAGGACTACCTTTTGTTCCTGCATAGTATTTATGAATTACTGGATGTGGTTAGGAAGATGGTTTCTTGGGAGGGGTTAGTTGCATTTGTGTCGCTCGAAGGAAGTGAGATTTTTGCTGGGAAAATTCGAGGAGACAATGGAAATGAGGATAAGGCTACCGATGCGGATAATGTGAAAACTGACAAGAAGAGTGAGAAGAAAAAGAAGGTAGTTTTGGGGAAAGGATCAATTGCTCTTGTGCAGTTCATCAAGGATAGGTTGCTGGGTGGAGCAACAAAAGTCGACTTGGGCAAATGCACTCAGGATTTCCTCTCATTGCTGGACCCCAGGGATTCGAAGTTTGATGATCTCATTTTGAAAGTGAAAGAGATTGTCGAAAGCAATGAAAGCCGAAGGTTGCCGAAGCTCCCTAAGGTAATGCGGCCGTGATCAAATGTAAATCGAGCAATATTCTTGACATACATATTTCCAGCGTTCTTCCTTCTGTGCTCCTACCTGTTAATACTGTTTGATTGACTTTGTGGTCAAGATGGCTTTTTTGGGGGGTGTGTTTTTACTTTTTAGCAAGTGCAATGTTAAGCTTAATGGCAACAGTTTCTTTGCTGTGTTCAATTAAGTTAGATAATTGTGATATAATTTAGGTTTTCGTATTTGTTTACATTGTAGGTGTAAACTTGTGATGATAACCGTCTAGTATATTCACCCAATATCATAGCCTCAAACATCAACAAATGAAAATTTCTTCGTAAAAATTATCCCTTTCTTTCACCTGATTATATGAATCCCGATTTCCTGGTTGTCATATCTCTAATCCTTGCCTGATTATACTGACGTTCTCATTTGACTGTTTGATCATAAACTTTGTGCTTTCTGCCAGGGCCCTTATAAACTAATAGGTGTACCTTGTTTATTCATTCTTTCATATTATATGTGTGCATTACAGTTCTTGTTAACGTGGAAGCAGTAGTATTTTGGATTGAATTATTATTATTTTCGTATGCCATTGTGCAGGGTACTCGTGATTTTGCAAAAGAGCAGATGGCAGTTAGAGAGAAAGCTTTCTCAATTATAGTTGACGTTTTCAAAAGGCACGGCGCCATGGCTTTAGATACTCCTGCTTTCGAATTGAGAGAAACTCTTATGGGAAAGTATGGAGAAGACTCTAAGCTTATTTATGACCTTGCTGATCAGGTAGGCTTTTCTTCTCAATGAGCCTCTCTACTACAAAATTGCCATCCTGTTTTCTCCCCTTTTTCATTTGTATTTAGGCACCCTGTTCATAAACTGTTTCAAGTCAATTTTTGAGGAACTTCTCCTTTACTTAATTTTTTTTTGGTTTTTAAGGTGAATTTGGGTTTTAAATTTCTCGTTTTTTTTCCAACCTTGTAGGGTTCTTTTTATTCACTTTGTATATACCAGCATGTCCCTGCATAAATTATTCTTTCCTCTGCGTTTATACTGTTCATTAGCCTTATATATGTTAATCAAAATAATTTTCAGGGTGGTGAGCTATGTTCACTCCGTTATGATCTGACTGTCCCTTTTGCGCGATATGTGGCTATGAACGGTCTGACGTCGTTCAAAAGGTATCAGATAGCCAAAGTGTACCGAAGGGATAACCCATCCAAGGGAAGGTACCGTGAATTCTATCAATGTGACTTTGATATCGCAGGCCAATTCGAGAAGATGGGTCCGGACTTTGAAGTCATCAAGATCTTGACCGAGTTGCTTGATGAGCTTGATATTGGAGATTATGAGGTAACTTTCTCAGCTGCATTGCATTGCGTTCTTGTTTGCGTTCTATTTGATATGGAAATTACTACTTCGGCTATGTTTGGTAAACCTAGCTGATAAGCTAGCTTGTAGCTTTTAAGTGAATCTCGAACTTATAGTTGATAGCTTATGACTTGGCTGAAAGTTAGTTTATATGATAAAATTGTTTGGGAAAATTAGTTGATAAGCTAGCTGAAATAAAAATTCAATGGACTAATTTGAAAAGCTACAACAAGGAAGCTTATGAAATAAGGTTGAGCTTTTTGAAAAAGTACATCCTATCAAACCAAGTTTATTTGAATGATGGAAGCTTATAAGCTAATTAAATAAGTTATAAGCTAGTTTATATGCTTACCAAGCACAACCTTCATATACCTTCCTATCCAAACTAATGGCAAACTAGCTTTTAGCACCTAAATATATTGCTCAAACTAAATGTCATTTAAGAATGAAGAGATAGTTGCCTGCAATCCTCGGGTATTTTTATATGAGTTTTCGAAATGGAAAAAAGAGTTGTTTAAAATAGGGTTATACAAATAATTTTGGACTAAGATGGGGGATATTAGTTGCTAAGTTTCTTAATAGGTGTGTGTAAGTTCTCTAAAATGAGATGGGATTTATCTCGGGATGAGGGAGTATCTGTTAACCTTTTGCTTTGGCTGACCTAACTACTCAACGTGAGATAGTAACAGGGCATCCTTATTGCAAAGCAGTTCGGGGTTTTAATTTCTGATTACCTTTAATCTTGTAAATGTTAAAGGATTCAAATTTATATTCTTTATTTATTTCTCATAATTGACTTTTATTTACCATATTTTTTCTAGGTTAAATTAAATCACCGGAAGCTACTGGACGGGATGCTAGCTATTTGTGGGGTGCCACAAGAGAAATTCAGAACTATCTGCTCGAGCATTGACAAACTAGACAAGCAAACATTCGAGCAGGTCAAAAAAGAAATGGTGAGTCCAAGAATCTGGTAAAAAAACGTATTAAACCGTACCATTTAAAATTTATGCTCGTAAAGTTCATATATTTCAAATAATCTTCACTTATGCAGGTGGAAGAAAAAGGTTTGACAGAGGAGACTGCAGATAAAATCGGAACTTTCGTTAAACACAGAGGTTACCCTGTGGAGCTACTGTCTAAGTTAAAGCAAGAAGGCGGCGAGTTTTTAACCAACTGTGATGCTGATGTGGCATTGAATGAATTGGACATTTTATTCAAAGCTCTCCTGAAGTCCAAGTGTGTCGACAAAGTCGTTTTCGACTTGAGCCTTGCACGCGGTCTGGATTACTATACTGGGGTCATATTTGAAGCTGTTTTTAAAGGGGCTACTCAGGTTCTCTCTCTCTCTCTCTCTCTCTCTCTCTCTCTTTCTTTCTTTAATTAATTAGTTGATTTTTTAGGTTGGTTCGATTGCTGCCGGGGGGCGTTACGACAATCTCATAGGGATGTTCGGGACGAAGCAAGTTCCTGCAGTTGGGATTAGCTTAGGGATAGAGAGAGTATTTGCTATTATGGAGCAGCTCCAAAAGGATAAAAATCAGGTATGGACGTCTAATTCAGTAATTTACTTGTGAAAAGTGGCTAATATTTTCCCCATTTTTATCACCGACTTTTCTTAACGAAAATTCAGTATCAATGTCTCTGTTCGAATGCTATTTAACTGCTTATTGAAAATTTGTTCTATTTGTACCAAAAAAAAAAAATTGTTCTATCATCTTAATAGTTAATATTGACCGAAATATGTTACATTCTTATTACAATCAGGAAATCCGAGCAACCGAGACTCAAGTCCTAGTCAGCATCCTGGGTGATGACCTGTCATTGGGCGCCGAGCTTGTGAGCGAACTGTGGGCTGCAAAGGTGAAAACCGAGTTCATGGTCAACAAGAGGGTCATAAAGCATATTGACCGGGCCCGAGGGGCCCGGATCCCCTACATGGTGATCATGGGGGACCACGAGCTGAGCAAAGGGATTGTTAAGCTGAAAGATGTTTTGGCCGCAAACGAGTGTGAAATCCCGAGAGGTGAGCTCGTTTTCGAGCTCCAGAAAAGGCTGAGCGGCAACACGTCTGGACAATGATTATCTGGCAAAAATCGATCGGCTGAGAGCTCTCCTAAATTTTTCACATAATATTTTTTTTTTTTTTTTTTTTTTTTTTTTTTTTTTTTTTTTCTTGGATTAGTTGTAACTGCATTGTTGACAAAAATGGCTTGGGAGGAAGAAAATTATATTGAACATTTGGATTTGTGTAATGAACATTTGGCTTGGGAGAAGAAAATTCTAACTCAGGCTCGTTCGGTTATTTAAAACAGACGAGCTCGAACAACCAATCAATCTCATTTACAATACTATCTGACTATCCAAGTTCGTTTGCGAACAACTTGTTTACTTTTATTTCTTTTCAGGGTCTTAAATAAAACGGTCGAGTAGAAGTTTATGAACCAACAATTCGTGCTTGTGCTAGTGAATAATTCGTTTAGAGTTTTATTCTTTTTAATTGAACCAAACGTAATCACTTTTTTTGCTGAGTTTTCTAACTAAACCAACTCATTTATCAAATTAGTACTAGGTTTATTAATTGAACAAAGGAGAAACCAAATGTTAACGAGTTTTCACTTTTCACTAACCGAGCTCGAACTGAACCAACTCGTTTATCAAAAAGCAAAATATAGTTTCAAAAGAAAAATACTACAAGTACATAATAAATGTAAATATAGTTTCAAAAAAAAAATGCTACAATCACATAATAAATGTACATATAGTGTAAATAACACTCACTTGAGTAAGATTCTACAATATTATGTGCCTATAACATTTTTCGGTCTCAAAAACCCATTTTACTTTATTTATTTGTGTTTCTTTTTGTCATTTTAAGTGAGGTTTGGCTATTGAGGGAAATAAAAGTCGGCAACTCTTCAACACGTCATGTTCAGAAAATTCTGCAGCCCATAAACCCTAATTCCCTTTCTCTCCATTGTTAAACCCTCGGCCACCTACAGTTTACCGGGAAAAGGGAATCGCCGGAAAGACGAACTCCCGACCAATTAACCAACCGGAGTTCCAATTGACCGACTTTACCGGTAAGAAATGCAGCAGGATGAGGTCATATGGCACGTTATCAGACACAACCACTGCAGCTTCATGGCCAAGTAACCGCTTTTTTCTCTTTAGATTTGCTTAAATTTTGCAACCAGTCGATTTGATATGCTTTTATTGTTCTCTCTATGGATGATCTGTTCCTGATGATGTAATGGTCGAATTTTGCATGTAGAATCGAAACTGGATTGTTCTGTCGCAACCCGTATAATGTGACGGGGATTTGCAATCGGAGCTCGTGCCCTCTCGCCAACAGTCGTTATGCCACCATTAGGGAACACGAAGGTTTATTCAATTTTTCCTTTTTTTATTTTTTTTTTATTTTTGTTTCATGTGGTGCAATCTTGAATTATCGGGGTATTGAGCTGAATTCCAAAGTTTTGGATTATTGATTTTTACTATTAGGTGTTTTCTATTTGTATATGAAGACGATAGAAAGGGCGCATATGCCGAATAAGCTATGGGAAAGGGTGAAATTGCCGAGAAATTATGAGAAGGCCCTTGAAATAATAGACAAGCACTTGGTAATGAAATTGGATTAGGTTTCCACAAATTTACTTTGTTCCCTAAGGATTAAATGTCAATGATCCGAATTATTGTTAATTTTTTTTTTTTT